TACACTAAAAATGTTCATATTACAAATTTTTTAAATAATATATACATACATGTAACTGTTTACTTTTAACGTTCAATCAGCTCTATTATCATGAATTATCGCGACCTATTTCGGAAACAAAGACTTAAAAGATAAGATAAAAAATATATTATTAATTTACTCGTGATAAGCGATATCTCGTTTGGAGGAAAAGAAATTCTAAAGAAAATTAGTTTTCACATGTTACTCAAGATAAGAGAAAAATCTCAATTCATATAGATAACAGAACACTCAATGTAGTTTACGTGTTAAACTTTGTCGACTTTGCGTTCAGCTGTTAATAATTCGGAGCAAAACGTTACCTGTGTTACGTCATACTAACAGATCACGTCGCTCGAATATTTTGACATAGGGTCTGGGTCTGTTTTCTAACCAGCTAGCAGCGCTAGTTCAGAGTTTATCTTTCTTACTCCACACTGGAAGGCAAAAGATAAACTCTGAACTAGCGCAGCCGGTTCAGCAATAGAAAACAGACCCGGACTGATGCTATTGACGCTAATGAAACATGGCATGGCAAATGAAACATAAACGACCAGGGTTGACGAGGGCGGAGGGAGCGGAGCGAAGGTCATTTACCGTTCTCTGAACGAACTGTGCATGCCGCAAGAAAACTGCAAGTGACTTCTCTCCTGCTCCAAGAACATGGTAACCGCTGCCTTGGCGGGGGTGAGCAGTCCGTCCGAATCGGAACTGAAGGAGTTGTGATCGGTTGCGCTCTTCTGCGCCGGCTGCGGCGAGTTGTTCTGCTCAATCGTCGTCTCACTCTGCGGCAAGTCGTGCGACGTCTCCGGCACCTGGGGGCAGACGTCTACGGGCGGATCCAGCTCCACGGAGGCCTCGAAGTCGGCGCTCCGGCACACGGCCTCCAGCACCGCCTGCTGCTGCTGCTGCTGATGATGCTGCTCCGACGACGACGACTGGCCATCGCTGTGCCTGCGCGCGTGAACCGGCCCGCTGCGTGACAGGACGGCGAACCTGGTGTCCCGGTGACTGCCGTCGAGAGAGATGTTGGACAGGAATGTGAGGGCGGCCAATCTTCTGCGTGAGTGATTTTTCTTTAGGGCCGCTGCCATTCCACGACGGACGGTGTCGGGATGCCGGTGCCAAATACCGAGGTGAGTAACGACGACAACGCGCGACCGATGACGGCGACGGCGACGACGTCGGCGACGTCAACGGCGACGGCGACGACGACGACGACGGCGGTGACAGCGGCGGCGGCGGCGGCGGCTGCTGCTGCGACGACGACGACGACGACGACGGCCTCGACTTATTCGTACAACGACAACTAAGATCACAACGCATCGTCACTGCTGATACACTTAGTTCTACGTTCACCAGTCACGATCACGGCCGTGCGCCACACGTAAAAGGGTGAACCGGTACCGCTGATCATCATGCCGTTTCCTCGGACGAGCCCTTTCAACACGCGTTCACCTTCCGAACACGACCGTACGACCTTACCTACTACGCAACACAGCAGGCAGGACTCAGGAGCGAGGGACACTTCCACCAGACCTTCCACCTTCCACCTTCCACCATGAGCGAGCTGCTACGATTTCGTATTCGTGGACACTGGGGCCCCCCACTGGCACGGACCAATCGGAAAATCGTATCGTACTCGGCGCGCGCGTCTTTAAACAGGGCACACACACTTTTCCGTAGAACGTAACAGTAAGGTTTTGACTAATCGCGTTGCTCGCTTCGGCCGTCTGTAACTGTAGAGGTAAGAATCAATGTTGGCCGTAAGCAGAAGTAAGTAGAATTTCAACCGGTTGATTATATGTATATATCTGAATAAAAAATGTTAAGAGACAGAGATCCCTTGAAATTCATAAACTATTTGAATTGGTATCTTTAGAGATTCTCTTATCTAATTAATTAAAACTATTATATATAGTAATGTTTCAGCACTGCTTGTTACTATATTTCTCTTTTAAAAACTTGGGAAAATTCACAACTCAGTAGAGAAATGATTCACTATTTATATTTTCAAATAGGCGTATTTACAAATTTTACATTTCACAATCTTCCATAGGTATGATAATAACGTGGCGTTACTGCAATTTAGTTGTATACTTTATTTATACAATCATTATAATAAATTATATGTGTGTGTGTGTGTGTGTGTGTGTATATATATATATATATATATATATATATATATATATTTCTTTTAAAGTATATTTACGTTACGCGCAAGTGTGTACCTCGTATGCTCACAAAGTAATTCATCATTTCTAAACGTTTGCATCTAAAACAATTTTGTTGTCTTCAAGAAATATGAGAATTCTCAAGATGTAAGATATATACAGTATATGAAAATTACTTTAATGTTTTGAACGTGGAGCCAATCTTTTTTATGTAGGCTTTTCTTATCATTCTGCTTATAAAAATATTGTGGTAAAATCAAACGAAAATGAAAAATCAAACACACGCATGCAGCATGTCATATTTTAGTTCGAAGTATTCGATTATTGTATAATAAGATCATATCTCATTAATCGATAAAAAGTGCCATTTTTGCTCAGATTAAATTGCTTGTAATACAATCTTTGTTTCAAATGTATCTATATCTTTCTTTCTTATATCAGTTGAGACATTTTGTACGCCAAATAATGAAAAAAATTAATTTATGCATGAAAATTTATACAGTTTCGCGTAAAGAAATGTCGATTATTTTCATATCTCTTAACATCTTCACTTATAATTATTATAATTATAATTATACTATAGATCTGTGTATGAGTACATTCTTTCTTATATCACACGATTTATCCTTAAAAGTTTTCGTATATCATGAAAAATAACAAAAATATTTCAGATACAAGCATTAATTCACTTTGTATATGCATAGAATGATTCTAAAATAAATTATCAAATGTTGTACACATGTTTTAATAAATATGGAATTACTTTTCTTCTTCAATAAGTAAAATAGGACCAATATGAATCTTACAGTTAACAAAAATGCCATTTTCGGTCGAGCTGGATCTTGGTAGTAGCTTAATAATGATATTTCGGTGTGGATTTTATATACTTTTTTCAACTTAGTAAATTGCGCGTCGATTATTTTTCGATTTTAAACTGACCGAAAGAATATAACTACAAAATTTGATGATCTATTTTAAAATCTCATTGTACATATATGTAATACATGTACATACGTCGCATAGAAATAATGTTTGACACGATTTTGGCGGATAAATTGGCTAGGACGTTATATCTTGACGATTTACACAGTTAATTGCAACTCTCACCATACACACACTCCTATTTTTTGATTAAAATTACCACCAAGCCTCTATATCTTAATTTTGGACTTTGCTTCTTGCACTTACAATTACACCATGTTCCTGTTAACAGACAGCTGGTCGTAGATAGGAGGAATCGATAGAATTTGGCTTGGTACCATGTAGAAAGATATTCATTAATCAATATAGAAGTTAAATTGTCGAGTTGTAAATATACGTAAATTTTCTTACAAAAAAATGTAAAATGCATAATTTTCGATTTCAGCTTTTTTTTCCATATTTGGCACAATTGTTTAATGTTATATAGATTATCTTTATGATGAAAGCTAGAAATATTATTTATATCTCCTGTACAAAATTCCTTGGTCCCACAGAAACAAGACCAGATAAAATGTATATAAATTATTGACTTGTAAATCAATTTGTTTCAGCAAAAGCATGAAACTGTTGGCACAATTTTTTTTTGTGAGAACAATCCGCTATCTGTCAACTGTACATAGTCCTTTTCACCAATCTAATATTATATTTGTTAATAATCTTATCTCATAAAATGTTTTTTCACATTTAATCATTTTTATTATAGTAATATTATATTATATATATGTGTATATATGTATATAGGAATTTCAGAATAATAAAAGCTACGTAAATTTCCATAGCTTAATTTTTCGCCAGCTTTCCGTTGCAGCGCTTTCATACTCAATTTTTGCTACACTTTTTACATACATATATACACATACATATTGATATTTACGAAGTAAATAAAACTCTTAAGCCCGACGCAATAATTCTATACAAATACACTGATTTCTTTAGTAGATTGAAGTACTTGACAACAGTTCCCTTTTAACAAACGCACAGTCACACTTACTGTCATTGAGCTCAAGTCGTTACAACAATGCTCTTTCCGTTTTACTACATAAACGATAATATTTGTAAATGGAGCGATTTCTTCGTGATATGGACCACCCATCAATATACAGATAGTTGCTGGAAAGTCCTTACATATGTCTATGCATATGTCACATATGTCCATGGCATTGTACGCATTACGCAGACATAAAAGGAGAAATTTCTTCTGAGCATATATTTTTTCTATCATTCGCGATTTTCAACTTTGTTTTTGAATAATTAACATGGAGCGGATTATGTATAAATATACTCTTAAATCTAAATTACAGAGAAGACTACAATATACATATAGAGAAAAGTCCCCTATTATGAGATACCACATATCTATTTTGTGTGATTATCGGAGTGAGCAGAATTGAAAAATATAGTAGGTCATTTTGAAGGAAATTTAATAAGCTTTAAGGTGCTGAAATGTAAAATCTAATTTAAATATTAATTTTTCTGAAAATTAAAAAAAAAATGTAAAAAATGAGCTATTAGTTTAGCAGAAACCCCACTATCGCATATTAAAAACTTATCTCATAATAGGGAACTTTCCTTTAATAATAAAAAAACATGATTAGATATATAGATATATATATACACATACTGAATGTGCCTTTTATAAAAAATGATTTTTATTTCTTATATAACAAAAGAGAATTACAATAACTCAAGATGAAAGAAAATAATAGTTATAGCCTCTTATTCCGTTTTAGTCGGATGATAATTTGTTTCACAGCATGCATTTAATTGTTATAACTTTCATATTGCATTTTAACCCACGTAATAATTTAAATAATTTTAAATAATTTTAATAATACACGATTGAGATTTTTCGCATTATTTACATATGACTTGTGCAAGATATTATTACTAAAAAAAGTAATATCTTACGCAGAAATTCTACCCAAAAAATGTCCATTGCATATCTCTGAATAAATAATTAAACAATAACAAGTTAATATTCTTAATATACATAGCGTATGTAAAATCATACGCCACATGCGCCAGGCCATGCTAAATCGATCTAAAAAGTATTATATTACAAATTATGTTACTTAATAGGAAAACTGTTAAGTAGGAATCTTAAGACCTTAGCAAACTATTTGGCTACATGAAGATAAGATCGGTTATTTGGCAAGTTTCTTGAGATATTTCTCCCTTTACGTCCTAGAGCAAATCTAAATGTTGCGCGCATAATATACATATATTTGAGTGACAAAGTGCTAAAGTTTGTAAAGAAATAGATACAAAAGAAATTAACATAATCACAGTTGGTTGGCAGGCTTGCGAGCGAGCGCAGGCATGATGCGTTTGGACAGGCTCTTTCAACGCAAATACCTCATCTTTCTTTACATGGTTTTATCACTTGGTCGATATAGTACTTCAGTAGCCTGTTTAAACCCTTTATATTGACAGACTGAGCCTTAAACATAATCATTTGTTCCAGGACTTGTCAATGGTTCTTGAGCCTGAAACAAATAATATGGTAAAACTTTTCACATAAAAAAATATTCTGAAATTTTATTTTATCCGTCAAAAATATATTTATAATTTTTCCCATAATCCATAAAAATTATCTGTTAAAATCTTTTAAGTAAAAATTAATTTAAAATAATTATAGTTAATGATTATTTTTACCTCCTCTCCAACTGTAGCTGCAGGAAGCGGGAATCTATTTTTCTCAAGACTAAATTGATCTTCAGTAGTCTTTCTGTAGACGGGATTATCGAAGTTCATGCTAGTAACATTACGATGAAGATAATGCCTGTAGCACAGTACTGCAACCAGTGCGAGTAATAACAGTCCTAAGGTCACTACGCCTATTACGATGCCGGCGACTAAACCAGGATCTGTTGATTCAGTTGCTAAATTTCTCTTTCCATCTGCATCTGCTGAGGATAGTGGATCTATAAATATCATATTTGATATTAAAATTCCAAAACATAAATTGGTATGGTTGATGTTTGATGTAAAGAGATTCCAAAAATCTTTTCTCATTCCAGCACATTCATTACTATAGCAGAGTTAATACAAATAATTAGTAAGAACTTAATAAATTCATTTCTGTAGTCATATACAATGGTTGTAATTATAAGAACAGACTAAAAATCTAAATCTAGAAAACACTAACTGTGCTATCAAGTAAATTGCACATTTTTAAGAAAAATGCATGCATAGGGCACATTCGTATAATGCAAAGTAACACTTAATATATCTAATCATATCTACAATTTTATATCCTAAAAGATTACAAAATAAATTGTAAAGGGTATCTTTTAAATAAATAATTAAATAATTAGTTTTAATCAATCAAATTTGTTAACAAATAACAATAAATATTAATTCAATATATAGATTGTTAAATTCTTAGATTTAGCAAATAACTTGTTATTCATGGATCTTCTGATAAACATAAAGTCAATTTTTCTTTAATAAAAACGTAGAGAAAAATTATTAAAAAATTTAAATTTTCTATTTTTTTACAATTTGACATATATTTGTAACTCAAATAACAAATTTATTAAGCCAATCAGCACCATGGAAAAAAGGCTTCAACATTTTGATACGTTCGATATTTAGTTAATACGCCTTTTTTAGAAAGGGATTTATTTAAATTAAATAAAGAGAGAATAAAATTTAGTTACCGGAAATTTGTTTAACTAGCAAATCAATTTTCTGATGTATTTGTTCAGGAAAAATTGACTTTAAATTAGTCACAAATTGATTTAATCTATATATATATAGAGAGAGATAGAGCATCTAATATATACAATATACATATATCTGAAATATCTTGTATCAGATACTACATACTAAAAATAAAGAATTTTGATATAGATTTAACGTATACAACTTAATATAACAAAATTTCCACTTTCCATTTTCTTAAAAAGGAAAAAAAATTGTTTTTAATTCAGCATTCAATATTTCACTCTTAAATAATAGAGTTATCAATATATTTTTTAATAATTAGTAGTTTAATTAGTGATTTTTATGAAGCCCAGTATAAAATGTATCCCAAGAATATATCACCCTGAATTAATAAATGTTTAAATGATTAATTAATTATGTGTGATAATATAATTAGATAAACGCTTAATATAACCCAGAAAGATCCGCGTGTATTGAAAAAATATCATCCAACCAAACTTACTGGCAGTTGTTGTAACATTCAGAGGCTTGAGCCTCTGGAACGGCATCATGGGTGCTTGCGTGGACGGTGCTATGGTCGTAGTAACTGGAATATCCCAAATACATGCAACACGAATGCAAATAAATGAAACAATGTAAATAATGACCTCATAATGTCTTCAAGCAACTGTAGGACATTAATAAAAAAAATTTATAAAATTTTTTATTAAAGTCCTAAATGATCAACTTTATGCACTAAAAATATACGCTTTGTTTGCAATAATTTTTTCATGTCCAAGCACTTGCACGTTTTCATCATACTGTTTTATTTATGAATTTATATAACAGTGATCATGCCACAGATGATTTGTTATTGTGCAACGACTGTTTATGAGATATCGATGTTAATAATTATATGCGCACATCTGCATACAAGCGTAATAACTAACTAGCCGACTACAAAAGATTTGTAGGAATTTAAAGAAAAAAATGACATTTTGAACATCTTTCTTGCATAATAAGCATTAATAAATTATAATGCACCAACGACATGCAATACTATCTGGAATTTAGATTTCATTCTCATAATGTACTATACTGCAGATCTATAACATATTTATAATAAATTGACGAATAACTTTCCGTGACTGCCTATTAATTAACTAATTTGTTCATTTAGAGAAATATTTTGTAATTCGTAATGTATGACGTCTATTACCAATAATTAAGAAATTACTTTTAATATAATTTGAAAACACTACGTTATGCTAAAAATACGATTACAGAATTATAGAAAAGAGTTAGAAAATAATTGGCATGTTTACTACGACAAAGGGCTACTATGACGAAGCAGTTGAAAATAGCATAGTAGCTCAGTGGTGGAAGGTCATTCATCAATCACGATATCTTTCCCCATGACTGACTCACCATTTTCCACGCACATCAATCCATCGGGTAATAACCGTAAGCCGTCAGGACAGGCGCACGACAATAGTGGTGATCTAGAGTTGATTTTAGGCGCGGGCAAACACAGATGGCTGCAATGTCCATTGACAGCCTGACATTGATTCATTCCATCAGGCTGTCTGTAAGGATGATATACATGGACTACCATCGGATGCTGAAGCGTTCTGATCGACGTTACGGGTTCTACTTCCTTGCCGGTGAATTTGTTAGCTTTAAAGATCGTTTCCTTATCCCAATCGGTCCAGTACACGTAATCCTCAAAAGTCGTTATACTGAAGGGATGCCTAAGGCTATCGGGAGAGTACAAAACCGTTCGTCTGCCCGTACCGTCGTAATTACAGGAACCTATGATGTTTAGTTTTGCGTCTACCCAATATACTCTCTTGCCAATCAAGTCTAAAGTTAAGCCATTAGGCCACTTGACATCATTACCGACAATCACCTGTAATAGACTCTTGTTAGAAATCAAGGCAAATTGCTTGAAAAACACATTTAATATGTTTTATTAATGACTCATACATAATTGTTCCTTTGAAATTGATTTCTAGAGACACCTTAAGTTTTGTGACGTTCAAGTAACATATTCTTCGATAATATTAATACTACTTTTTAATTAACATTATAATTTCCGTTTCCTACCGATCGATGAGTGCCGTCCATGCCGGCTCGTTCAATACGAGCCTCGTCGCTCCAGTCTGTCCAAAACATCCAACCCTCCAATGGATTCAGTGCTATTGCTCTAGGTTCCTGAATGCGATCTCGTATCAAAGTCTTCCTCATATTTCCTTCGAAATTGGCCAATTCGATGGTATCTTTCCCAGAGTCTGTCCAATAAATATGACTGTAAATCCAATCAACTGCCAATCCATCTGATGTGGTGAAATCGTTTTCGATAACGACTGTGCGCTCATTTCCTTCATCTATTGGAGCTCTGAACATATCATTCGGTCAATATATCTCTCAATATGAAACTTAATAATAGAGACTTTCTAGCTATAAGAAAATTATGACATACTTGTAAATTTTCTTTTCACTAATGTCGCTCCAGAAAATCATTCCAGTGCGAAAAACAAAGTCCAAAGCCGTTGCCATTTTAGTATTATTAACGATAGCGGTCATCTCTTGACGGTCTAGAGCTACTTTCCGGATATCATGTCGACGGGCAAATAACAGACTTGCGTGACCCTCCGCGGCTTTACAACGTGTTAAATTCCGCGGATCTTTAAGATAACCGGTGGCGCAGCTGCATTTGAAGCTACCCTTTTCATTTTGGCAAAACTGAGAACAGCTGCCCGGTTCCAAGCATTCATCAATATCTGAAAGATAAAATAATCTCTCCAATGCGGAACTAATCTAATGTACGGTTGCGGTGAGAGACCAGAAACTTAAAAAAATAATATGTTAACATTTGGCAAAACAAGAACTCTGGTCATACCATCGCATGTGCGGTTGTCGATGAGCCTATAGCCTGCACGGCAATCGCATCGATAACCAATAGGCAAATCGACGCAAATCTGCGAGCATCCACCGTTGTTTTTTGCACACTCGTTCACGCCGCAGAGCTCGGCGCTCTCATCCTCCCACCCGATGCAATCTGGATTTTTGTTGCAAACGTTTTCCAAAGGAATGCACGAGCCCTCGCTGCACTGGAACTGAATTCGCGGATCGCAGCTTATGATTTTGCTCGTGCAATTCTTCTCGTCGCTTCCGTCGGCACATTCGGCTTTACCGTTGCAGTATAGATGACCTAAACATACGAATCGTTGAAAATCCGAAGCATTATAGAGCGATTCGCGCGACTATGTAAAACGACAGATTCTTTATGTAAATAATGATATAAAAAATCATATACATCTTGGATTAACTTATTAATTTTTGGAATTCAATATCTTGGTAATATTAAGGCTGAATATAATTTTGCAGTCTGTTCACACTTGAATTATGCCATTATCCCGTGAAACGAAAACATTTTTCACCAATTTGTCGTATTTTATTGTAATTTTATGTTTAACGTAATAATAATTACAAGCAGTTTACTATGGAAATGTTGTATCTTTAAATATTGCATACCCGAGATGCAAGAACGTCGATCTTCGCATTGAAATTGATCGGGTCTGCAAGTCACATTGTGGCATCTCTGTGGGGATTCGTCCGCACCATTAGGACAGTCCTTTTCGCCGTCGCATACCCAAGTCTGATGGATGCAAGTAACACCATCGTCGCAATCGAACTCCTTGTCACAGTGGCTCGTCTTCTTCCCGTGGATATCCTAAGAGAGTGAATTCCAAAGAAACATCAGATTTACGTGCAATACGATATTTACATAAATCGTATTGCATTTTTTCTCTCTCGAGTTTCTTTACTCTTAACAATCTCGCAAATCACTTCAACCATCCGATACTCCGACGGGATCAGTATGAAGACGAGGTACCTTGCATCCTATTTCGTCGGATCGATCGGGACAATCGTAGTCGCCGTCGCATCTCCATCGCGACGTTATGCAATAATTCTCGGAACACGCAAAATCAGTGCCAGGATGACACGTTACCGGCCCGCAACCTTTCTCATCGCTGTTGTCCCCGCAATCGTTGTCGTTGTCGCAGACCCACAGCTGTTGGATACAGTGCTTGTTCGCGCAGGTAAACTCGTCCGACCGGCAAGTGTCGTCTGAGGCAAAAGATTTCTCATGTGAGAGAAGTGGAATGTTTTATTTACTTGCAATAGAAATTCTCGCGTAGCGACTTTGACATTTCAACAGGGGTTGACATCTGATCGGTACAGGGATGTAAAGCTTTTTAAAATAATTCCCGACTAAGATTATTAATCTATTAATGCAAATATTTAAAATAGCAGAACTTTTTTCTAAGTCACATATATAATTGTGCTATCACGTATAATCCGTGAAGAAAATATTGCAATAAGTAATTAAAAAAGCCAAAATTTTTAGCAAAAAAAAAATAAACAGCAGGTGCTATAATATCTATAGTAATTAGAAAACAAAAATTATGACAATAATTGTTAAGCGATGCGATCTTGTATTATAACTGCTCCCAATATGAGCACCTAGAACTCCGATATGGCTTCATGATTCTCTCTCTATTTCTCGATAAACTGTATTACGCTGCAAACTAAACTCAAAGCGTAGTAATATCAGCTGATCCGATAACCTTTCACGATAACGTACGTCTAATTTCGCAGCAGCTATGAATTTTTTATAAAAGAAGATTATACATTCAAGATGTTTTTATTTGCGCGTTATTATCCTTTATTGATTTCTTCTTATTTCCTTTTATGATATATAATTATTAATTATATAATTAATAATTTTTTTAATTTGACAATGCTTATTAATGTAAGCATTACATTTAATCTATTCTGTGTAAATGTACCTTACTCCACTGCAATAATCTTTGTGCCTAAAAAAAAGCGCACAAAGGAAAGAAACTACATTTCATTTATCTTCTAATATGTAATGCTGTGCAGTGTATTTTATAATAATATTTATGCATTTATGATAAAATGTAAATTATGTTTCACTTATGCTGAAATGTAAATAGTATTATTTTTTAGAAATATATAAAAATTCCTGAATATATTATGTAGACATATTGGGAACAGTTACACGTCACAAGTCACAATCTGTAATGTAGAAAAATAGAATACTGACTGACAGATAAATGTCACGGCTTTCACATATCGACATATTACACAATTTAGACAAGAGCACGAAGACTTCATGATAAGACGTCACGATAAGACCAACAAAAACGTGCGGCTTTAACGTAACGACTCGTGCGCAAATACCGCTCTAGGAAGAAACATGATAATTAAATAATTTTATGTAAAAAAAAGCTTCTTTTCTTTTATTACACTGTTATGTATTCCGTAATCGCGACTGCTTGCGCTTTCGAAGAGACAAGTTCCGGAAAAATTTGAAATTCCCGGCAGTCACTCGTAACTTTTTAAGCGGTAATAATTATCTCCTCCTCCAGCAAGCGGTATCTGCGACACAACATTATCTAACACCTAACGAAAAAAAAGCTATACGTATTAAGTTGCACTCTTAAGTATTACGATCGGAAATTCTCCGACTGAGGGAAACAAGAGATAATAAGTGTAATAAAATACTTACAGGTGACGCCAAAGATACACGAAGAAAATAAAAGATCAAATTAATTATAGTAGCACAGCAATTGGATCGTGGGTAATCCATTTCCGACTTGATCTTTTTTCATTTGGATAAAGTCGCTTTTATGCCGATTTATATAATAACTATAGATAAAAGGAAAAATGATACGAGGTTATCGTATGCGTGAATTCGTTAAGAATGCATTAAAAGAGATTCCTCGATATGAAATTTCTAATAAATTTTTCGCGCGACTTTCTACCCACTATCAATTCTTGTGGATCTTAACGCTATCGGCCGGCAAAGTAGCAAGGAAAGAAAAGTTGACGAAAATCAGCGCATTTCAGGAACACCGCATCGAATAAACGTAATAATAATCGCGGCTAATAAAAGTATAAATAACTCTTAATTCGTGCAAAATCCGTTTGTAAAACATAAAGATGCGACGTAAGATGTGCAAATGGTTTGTAAAATGTGTTCATTTAAAGCGCACCTTAAAGCAACTACATTTTACTATTATATGTACATTTTTTTCTTTACAGAGTCATGTCATAGAATCATTACAGGCACCCTTACACAAGCAACCTTCACCAATCAAAATCCATTTTAGCTTGTCCCAAGGAAATACTCAATCGCCAAACTAACAATATTATAATTGTTTTCGATCAAAAACAATTTACTTCGGATAGGATATACATATATGTTCGTCTACGTCTGTCTTTCGTCAATAATATTATATAGATAGTTATATATTTAATATATATAATTATAACTCTTATCCACAGTGTCTCAAACATATAACATATAACATATGCTTGCATCTTGAAGAGTAGATAGATGTGCACAATTAAAGCTCTGTACAAAAATATCTTGGACGATTAAAATATCTTTTCTAAAAAAAAAAGTCACGAACTAGATTGTTCAACGTCACAAAGATACACAATGTATTTTAAAGAGCTGCATGCGTGGGTGCGAAAACTAATAGAATAAAGATAATATGTAACCTCGGCTGTTCACCCTCGAGACGTAACGTGCAATACACGATAAGATAGAAAATACAGATAGAAAAATAATAGAGAGAACAAAGTGTGCAAGCGTATGGAAAAAGTAGCCCACGTGCAGAAGCTTACTGCACTCAGCCTCGTCTGAACCGTCCGAACAGTCGGGGTTGTCGTCGCACATCCATGTTAATGCCACGCACTCGCCATTTCCCGAATGGCATGTGAATTGTTCCGGCGTACAGGTCTTGGTCCCTACAAGACATGACAATTGCATTGTACCGGATTCGCACGAGAATATATACGACGCGGGGCGCGAGTCCCGACAAAATGGACAACGGCGAACGACGTTCGGTCGCGATTTGGTTTCGAAAGATAGATTGCATCCTCGTATCGAATGCACAGATAAATTCTAAAGTGTGTGTAAAAGCTTGAAACAATGAAATTCCATCTGTCACATAAATTGAAGACCTAATCTCCCGACTCCCTGGCTAACCCCGAGAAAATTAGGGTTCGTTTATAAAGTTCAGATACTTCCTCGATCTAAAAAAAAAACCAATGTAAGAAAGTGCTCTACCGATTTAAAGCCGATCTGTTTAATTATTTCGCAGCTGCGCTCACTTGTTAATTCATTATTTTATTTCTTGAAAGTTTACATTCTATTATCATTAGATTAGATCATTAAAAATTATCATTTAAAGTTTTAGATAATTAAATGGCATGCATAAAAACAACGTCCTATAAAAATATTGAAAATTTTGATTAATTAGTTATTCAGATAAATGTAAAAAAAATGTAACTATTACTCGTCATAAAAATTGCATTGATTTTGTCATTGATTTCACCGATGAATTATTGTTATATGCTTTGTTATCACTTCACCAATTTCCTAAAATTATTCTATATCAACAAGTTATTTATCATTTCCCGTTTCGATACATGCAATTAACGGAACCCAACTTCCTCATGTCAAGCGATAGAACGTATCGAGAGCACGAGAGGATGCAATCTGAGATTCTGCGATTTGCGCTTTGCCATTTGTTCCGTAGCTTTCCGGCTGATCTCGTCCCTCCTTGGCTGCTTTCCGGTAACACCTACGCTAAAACGCTCATCCGCGCGACTTACTGTGACAGTTCTTCTCGTCCAGATCGTTGGAGCAATCTGTCTGATGATCGAACAGCCACGTCTTTGGAATGCACTCGCCCGGACTGCATTCAAACTCTCTTTCGCTGCACGGTGTCGATCCTTTTTTTCAGTTCAATATTTTCGATTAACCATCTCTTTAGGACATAATCTTGCGAAATCATATACTTTTAGTTGATGCTGCCGACATCGGCAATATAATTTCTCGAATAAAAATTTTTGACGGACATCTAAAAGTCGTCTAAAAAATACATCTGATCTTGTGCAACTTAGGAGACTTAAGTTTTGCGTCTTAATACTGTTAAATTTCATGAAGAATATGAATATGTTTGTTTTTTATTTAATTCATATTTTAATAAAATTCCATAATTATAATGTTATGTGTTATATGATACAGAAAAAGAAACATTTTTAATGGATGGAAATCATAATACACGCGTATATAAAATATATACAAAATATAATATTAAAATACAAAATATGCACAAAAATATATTTAAAAATATAAACGGACTTCTAAATGTAATTCTATTCAGAAATTTAATGCGATTTACAGAATTAATGCTTCAGACACAGAAGTGTCCAAAGCAAGCTTTTTTAGTTTGTCTATAAATCAATACATCAATAAATCAATACTTTCTTTCGTGCGAGAGACGAAATGTCGGCGCTATAAGTATTGAACGTCAAAAGCAAAGTATAGATGTTTCGATACTATCATGTATAATGCCCGATTATGCAGACAAACGAAACAATCGTTAACCTTTGACATTCGATATCTTTAGCGCGCCATTGTTTTCAATTTCAAGTTCGAATAAAAGAGCCTATACGCCTGCGATCACGTTTCGTATGTAACTGAACGTGCTAGCATTCAAGTAATTTCTCATTTTATGACATAATGCTGCGCGAACATCGTGGAACGTAATAATATACAGGATGCTCTCCTTATTGAAGACACCTCCTAGATTCTTTGGCCAATTTTGAATAAAAAATAATAAAGAGATCCATCATTAATCGCATCCTTCCAATTCTCGACATTATATAATTTTTGTAACTTTATAGATAAAAATTCTGTCAAACAATAAATTCCATTTAAAATTATCCAAAGAATGCAGTTATGCTATTCACTTGGAATGCCCGTTAATTAAAATGTAAAGCATGAAATTTACGCGAGATAAAATAGTTCATTACGTAGTCCGTTTGTAAAATAGTAGAAAATAATAATGAAAAATCGCTCGACGCATATACGGTTCCGAGAGAACGATACGGAACGATAATTGTTAGTTTCTCAGAAGGATTATAGAGCTCCTTCGTTTTTTTTCAAACTAAAATTGCAATGTGCATCAACGATAAAGCTCGATCGCGTTTCCCTAGTTTATAATTTAAGAGAATTTTTAATGATCTGCAGCGCAATTTACATCATAATTGAAATGATTAAATGCACACGTAATTATATCGGTCAAAAGGGCTTTGCGTCAGTATGCACTAATTAATATTAAACGTGCATTCCACTATGTAATTATGATCGCCGTTGCGACCTTCAAGGATCGATGGGATACGATTAAACTAATCGATTAATATCACTACTGCCCTTCCGCCTCGTGATATACGTATAATAACACCGAGGGTGGAGATATGCAAATATATGACGGCCAATTGTAGTATATCAGGCGATTTACAATTCTAATAAAAAAAAAAAATTAATATGCGTCTTAACATCCACGCAGGATTTCATCAGACAGCAATCGCACGATAATACTGGAATCTGGAGTACTAGAATCGAGTACCCTCAAAATAGGAAATAACCTCGTTAGCGAGGGACACCCTGTATGTCAGTACGCTTCACCTGCATGAAAAACCGGTCTCCAAAGTTGCACTTTCACATACCGGGACCTTTTACAGCCGGGATGCACTATATATTCGGTTAAATATTCATTCAATTATTTTACATGACAATGCAATAAACTTTGTTCGCAAGAAAGTTAGCCGACTTTTAGGCTCTGCCAGTATTCAAAAAGTTATATCTTAATGAAAGAAAAAAAAATTCGATTGAATAGCGCGTATATAATTTTTCTATTATGAAATATGCAAAGATCTCTTAAACGTTTCTGCTTTTACGAAGTGCAGCGCCCTGCTTTTATGAAGTGAAACTCATAAAGCGTTTTACAAGAGGTAATTAATAGATTACACTACATAGAGACGTATAAATTACAAATTTCGCATTCCGTATATATATATGTAAGTATACAAGGCGTCTCTCTCAAAGCGGTAAATGCTAATAGATATATTTTATTGGCAGTAGCGGAGGGATATTAATTTCGCGTTTACCTTACCTCGGCAAATATTTAATCTGCGATTGAATTGGCTGTTAAATATGCCGGTAATTAACTTTTAATTTAATTTTTATGAAACTTTCCGCATTCGGAACAATCGCTACTGTGCAATCACAAAAGCGAGTCATTTTAACATTTTAATATTTCGACAGATTTTAATATTTCTCAAAATCATAAAACAAATATGTATATAGAACCTCGAGCTTTCATATATAATTACTTCCATAAACTTTCAAAAATTCTCTATTTAATTTTCCTTATATATTAATCCTTTGAATAAATAAGAAATTAATATTGAAGTCAAAACTTCCGTTCGTGCATGAATCAAATTTTATGCGTAGCTTCTGTACCTATGTTAGTATTATATCTTGTGATATCTCGATATCTTGTTAATATTTTTCAACCAAATGTGATTAATGTCCATTTCTATCAATGTAGATTAACTTTAATCTCGATTTAACTTGCTTTTAAACTTTTTCTAATTCTTGGAAAAAATTAAACTAGGAAAAGATAAGAAGCAAGTTAAACCGGGGTTAAAGTTAATCTGCATTTACAGAAATGGTCAATAGTTTTGAAAAAAATTAAGCGGGCAAGACTAAACCGGGGTTTAAATGTTATCTTCAATCTTTCTCCCGCCTCGTTTTAGATCTTTAGGAAGCAAAAATCAGCATTTTTCCCTCCGGGTCCGTATCTCTCTCGACAGAAATTATAGCGATCCAACGTCGGAATATTTATACGCGCGTTGCATGCATTATATAAGAAATTGTAACTTACTGCAGACAGCGGGGTCCTCGTCAGTGCCGTCCGGGCAATCTCGATCGCCGTCGCAATGCCATATATTGGGTATGCATCTGCCGTTACTGCACTTGAACTCCGTGTCCTTGCATTCCTGGGTGTCTGAAATGTTCATGTGGGAATGAGCGACGGCACCGGCACCGGCCGAAGGGACAGTCGCGCAGCACGCGAGCAGCAACAGGATGCACGTGCACCGGGAAACGCGATCCGAGGGCCGCGTCCGACTCATGCCGCCGAGCTGCATGATCGCGAGAGAGGAGCAAACTGGAGCAACCCTCCTGGGTCTGTCGTCCAAACGTGCGTGCGTGCGAACTGCACGGCGCGAGACCGCCCGAGACGCACTACGCGTTACGAGGAAACCTCTCTCGGCGTTTCAATCAAAGATCAATTAATTTTTATACGCGCGATCATTATAGCGCGCCGAACGATCTTCGAACGAGGCTCCCGCACGACGCGACGTCCGGCCCGAGCCTATCACTGGCGTTTGCTGATGAAATCTCACTGACGTATGTCATCCGACAAGTACGCAACACTGTTGTGTAAATTTCTTTTTTCTTTTTTCTTTTCTTAATCCCGTTCCCGATACTTCTGGATCATCGGAGCAGAGAGGAGGAACTCTCTCGGACGTCGAGCGACTTCGCAGTTTTAGCTTTCACGCGCGACGACGAAAGCGGTAAAATGCGAGCACCGGGACGCACACCTGGCGCAACGATGCACTCACGGTGGTAGCCGCGGATTCTGTAAGGCCGCAGCCCGCCAAAGGGGCGCCTATATATGGGCTTTGGCATGCACACACGTACACGCGCACGCAAGTGTTCCGCGGTGTGGCAGAAGGAGAGAAGCGAATCAAAGCCCTACCGCTGATCCTCGTTGCGAATCCAGTGCGTTTCTCACGTTTTTCTAAATCACGCACACATGATTAAACATATACACAAGGATTAGTGTCGAAGAAGAAATATTAGTTTCTACATATCAATATACGAAATAAAGACGTAATACTTTTCAATTATAAATACCGTAACCGATTTGGATATTTTATCATACGATAAGTAGATTTCTGACAAACTTTCTGCCGTATATATAAAAACACTTTATTTTAAAAAGCATTGTGTGCGTGTACGTGGGTAGGTGTGTATAGACACTATAGACAAACTTTACTTTTTCACGGATTATAAATTTGAACATTTTATAACATCGCCTTTTACACAATAAAGTGTTTTTATATGTGTGAATTCACAATAATTTCAACGGTAGACAAAAATGTACGGAGTTGACACGTGAAGTAGTTGCAACAAAATAAAAATAAAATTACATGTTAAAAATGAAATATGTAGCGCATGACATTTAAGTCATCGGTTCAATACACATTAAATGGGTAACACGATAATCCTGGATATTGACAGAATAAAAATTCATAGATTCTCTAAATTTCAAAATTGAATAGATAGAAAAATATTTGCGCGCGGCATATCCTTTTGTTTACCGTTGTACGCTAGGTTTGCTTTAATACGATTTAAAAACTACATCGATTCATTAACAGGCTTTAACATGCTTTTTAAAACTATTAAATATGTATTACATTTTAGCCTGCGGCTTTTCCCTCGCCGAGTAACATTCTTTTACGTTTACTATTTTGTAGAAACTATTATTCTTTTTTAAATATAAAGCGTTAAGTAATGTGTGTTTATTATCTTGTCCGTATGATACTTGAAATATTATACGCATACTACGAGAGAGTTATATGCATAAAAATCGCCGGGGAACAACTATCCTCTATATCTTTTCAAATAATTTTTCAGGCATTCCTCGCAAATTTATACGGCTATGTTTATCGACGTAAAAACGTGCACGTTATTCTCGATTAAATCCCTCTCGCTTCTTTTGCTACTTGCTGTTAATACGTATTGTCAAAGGATTAGATAAATCCGTACGTAAACGTACAAAAGAAGCGGTACGTAGACGAACATTATCGTCATTTATCAAGTTCTTGGAACGCATCATTCGTGGCAGCATAATGATAACACGAAAGTAACTGAAGCATCGATGCGGTCAGATATTGGCACAAAAAATACGAAAAGTAGCACAGCGGAAGATAGCGCCGGCGGCCGGACTTCAGAAAGCTATCGAGACGATAATTCGAGACCGAAGCATGTATAATTGATTAAGTGCGAAATATCGACGCTTGTACATAGGATATCTTATCTAAAAAATTTGCGTTTCCGCGATGAATGCGTAACAGTAATGATCGCGAATAAATCAATATTCTTTCCCCTATATGTTTTTAAATATCATTATGAATGTTACACATGCAATTTATGTGCTCATTATGAGAAACAAATTAACTTATCATTGATTGCTTGAATAATTTGTACTAAATAAGTTCTTGAAAGATAAAAATATATAGGTGCTTTCAACGAAAATACGGAGACATTAATAGTTTTTAAGATATTAGCTTAACGATGATAAAGCTTTTATGAGTCAAATTTCAAAGAAACATAAGCTCCTCTTTTTTAATTTTAAATTAATTTAATTATAATACAATTTTGACTTAAGCTTTAATTAAAGATACATTTAATCTTACTGTTTCATTCATTTTTATATAGATTTGGTCCAAGTTTGAGTTATTTCGATTGTAAAAATGCAAATTTATTTAAATATTCCTTTTTAAAAATATATAATATTTATAGGTTTTAAAACGTGTTTAAATTTTTTATGTTATACAAATATATTTAATATTATAAAAAAAATATTTTTAAAAACGTGAATTTTAAAATATGTGTAATAAGTGTGTGTCAAGAGATTTGAAAATGTTATTCACATAATAATCACAAAATCGTAATATTTAAAAAAATTTATATGGTTACAAAAAATCGAACGGAAAAGAATTAATATTAATAATTGAAAAATAATGATAACCTTGGTATTTTCAATAAAGAAAAAAATTTGTCAAAAAATTTTTCATTAATATTTGATGCGGTTATTGTACTTCGCGTGGATTAATAAGTGAATGATGACATCGTTTTTGTCGAACAACTGTCGAAAGACTGTCGAAGAGCTGACCAGCACTTCGTTTGCAGAAACATGATATTCTGAGATATATGCATCTCGAGTTTTCGGTACGGAATGAATGATGAATCGTCGTCGTTCACTGGAATAATCAATATACGCTAAAATCAAATGCAATATTCAATATAGATTTATAGAATATGCAATCGGTATATATGTACACATGTATATATGAATACACGCCATAGGTCTCGACTGAGTTCGTTAGTCGTTTTTCTACAATATACACACATATATATATATATATATATATATATACACACACCTATCTTTGTTTACATATTTAAAAATTCATCGACGATAGATGCTACACAACTTTCCGTTAACAACATATAAAAAAATATCGATCGTGCGAAGCCAACAATTGAGAAAATGCAGATAATTTTGCGACTCACTAATAGCACGTGAACATGCTACAAAATATAAAGCGTATGTACGAAATATGCACGTCGTGTATAGCCCGTTAAAAGGTAAGACGTATATGCGCGAGACGGGATCGTGACCAGTTTTCTGGCCGCGTAAGAATCCTGTCTTGTATTGCGACTCTTGTTTAAAAGCAGCCGTCTCGTCATTCCCTTTTCACGCGCTTGACTTTCCGCGTCCCACGACTAGATCACGCCTCTATCAGCGATATCTCGGTCATTGCGCGCTCACGATTACCTTCACGAATCGATCGGTCCGTTTCCGAGAATCCTATTCTTAATGCACCACTGATGCAATACCGAAATATCTTTATAAATATAACGACATTATTTATATTTAAACGCTGCTGAAATCACTAACGTTTGAGCAGTTCGATACCACGATAAAGGGCCATTTAAAATTGAATTAACTCTTGTTAAAGTTTAACAGAAAAAAAAATATATTGAGTTTGCAAACTATTAAAACTGATTTTAAATTGCAAAAAAATTTTATCTTTTATTTCCAATTTATTTTTTTTTTTACAGCAGAATCATTGCTGTTTGTATTAGCAGTTAGGGAGGGATACCCTATATACTTTCCAGTGGCAAGAAGCTACGAGCGGATTAATTGAAACTATGTGTCACGAGACTGCCCAATGTATTCATGCGAACTAATTTATTGGATTTCGTGCTGCGCACACAGCACGGCGTTTAAATTTAATATAACGGCGGAGAGAGAAGTCTGGCGCTTTGCAGTGCCAGTATTTTCCGATCGATTACGCTGATGAAAAAGTCCCATCCGATACTCCTCTTGTAAAAAAAAAAAAAAAAAAGATTGAGCAGCATTTGTGTAATTCGTCCAAGACCGAACGAATCTAGATATGCGTATAACATCGGCTTTGATATACAAAGTTGAAAGTTGCACGATTGCAAAAGATTGATAAAGGCAATATCATTCTCGTGACAGGCTTTATTGGCTGCGTCCGAAATGCATTATATCTGGCGAGAACGTGGAGTATTTCGCGGACGGCTTCACAAGAGTTAAACGCGCAAATGATTAATTAATGAACGTCATGTAATTATTGTATCAAATTACGCGATGGTTATTATATCGCGAGCTGTTGTCACATAATAATCCATGAATTTCCGAGCAGGTAATATTAGATATTAACGGTAGATGCGAGGATATTTATCATTCTCCGACGTGCGCGCAAGCGCGCGCGAGTTGCCGCTCTCCTCTTTTATTTAAGTAAAATTGTAAATAAATAATTCCGTTTGTTCGTCGTGCGGGATAAAAACTTTTTGTTTTGCCGTTATCGTAGTACATATTCGATTCATGAAGTAGACGATTTAAATTGATTTGCATAGATTCGAGCGAAGTTACGAAGCTCCAAAGTAATCTTAAATACATATGTAACGTTAACTTTCGAGGTTTCGAGGATGAAATTGCTTAAATATTGGAATCCAAAAGCGAAATTCCTCTCAATTCCTCTCAGTTATGGATTATACAAGATTTATATAACTTTGTCACAAGTCAATATCTCCGACATCACGGATACAAATTCCATTACAAAAAACGGATAGGTCTTTACTTAAAAAGAGGAAAAATCGACACTTCTAAAAATGTCATTACAA